AGTGGCAGGGGAAGAGTAGCATGCAACTACAGCGTCGTACAAGGTCTTAGCACTCTTGTACTGGCTAAAGTGCGCACGCTCAGTGGTCGGTAAGTGGCGACGCACAGCAAGACGGGCAGCAGCATCGCGCGTGGCCCACTGTGAGCGAACAGTGCTGTCAGCAGTAGCAGGCGGGGCAGGAGAGACACCAGAGGTGAGATCGAACAGGGAGAGTCCGTCTGCCCTATCGCACTGTAAGAACAGCTGGAGGTCATCGACCCAGACCTCAAAGTCAACAGCACGACCCTCAGTATCAAAGGTAAGGACACTGGGGGTAGCCATGACTGCAGTGGTCTAGCAGGGAGTGAGCTCACCAGTCCAAGGAAGTAGGGCCGGGGCGCGCCGGAAGGAACAGTGGCGGCTCGGCTACTGGGCGGCTCGGCGGCTCGGCTGCTGGGCGGCACGGCGGCTCGGCGGCTCGACGGTTGGGCGGCTCGGCTGTTGGGCGGCTCGGCTGCTCGGCGGCTTGGCGGCTCGGCTGCTGGGCGGCTCGGCGGCTCGGCTGTTGGGCGGCTCGGCTGCTGGGCGGCTGGCGGCGTGGTGGCTCGGCTGCTCAGCTGCTGGGCGGCTCAGCGGTGAAGGGGCCGGTAGAGGCGGCGACGGGGCCGCGAAGAGCGGCGACGGGGCCGCTAGGGGCGGCGACGGGGCCGCTAGGGTCGGAGACGGGGCCGCTAAGGGCGGCGGGGTGGCCGCGAAGGGCGGCGACGGGGCCTCCAGGGGCGGCGACGGGGCCGCTAGGGGCGGCGACGAGGTCGCGAAGGGGCCGCTAGGGGCCTAGTGGGGTCGGCGACGGGGCCGCAAGGGGCGGCGACGGGGCCGCGAAGGGGCCGCGAGGGGCCTAGAGGGGCGGCGACGGGGCCGCTAGGGGCGGCAACGGGGCCGCGAAGGGGACGCGAGGGGCCTAGAGCGGCGGCGACGGGGCCGCGAAGGGGCCACGACGGGCCTAGAGGGGCGGCGACGGGGCCTAGAGCGGTGACGACGGGGCCGTAAGGGGCCGCGAAAGGGGCCGCGAGGGGCCTGACGAGGGCGCGACGGGCCGCTAAGGGCTAGGGACGCGACGGGAGGGAGGGCACACGGGGCGCGACTCGGGCAGGAGGGAAGCGCGCTCCGGGCAGGAAAAAAAAAATGATTTTCAGTGGTGGGCCCTAGGAAACGTTCCCACTAGGGAACCTGCTCTATACCATGTGAAGAAATGAGGAAATGAATGAACTAGCAAGCAGGTGGGTACAAGTAGGAAAACCTAAGAGTGTTGTACCCCATATTGTCTACCCCACTACAGCCTACACAGACTATAGCATATGAGTTTGACACCCTAGCCATAGCTTCTTAGCCTAAGCCATGATATTAACGTACTATCAGAGTGGTTCCTTCTTGGACCGGCTTTTTATTCAATAATGGGCCACCGTTAGCTGCCGCAATGGCGCACTCCATCGTGCTGCCGTAGCGCGCCCCTAGTGCGCGCCTCTTCGCTTCCCGTCGCGCGCCCCTAGCGTGCGTCGGTTTTCTGCTCGTGTCGCGCCCTTAGCGCGCGTCGGTTTTCTGCCCATTGCACCGTTGCCCCACTCGGGCTCCCGTCATCGCCAGCAGAGTCTGTGCCTTCTGCTGCGCTTGCGCCAGGTCTTGGGGGGGGCAGTAAGTTGGAGGGAGGTAGTGAGTGAGGTGTTCGAAGGTGGGGTAATGGTGGGGGAGAGGGTCGTGGGCCTGCTCCGCCAGTTGCTGCCTCTCTTCCCGCCCTGCCGCATCTGCTGCTGTAGCGGGGAGGCTGAAAGGGTGGTGGGGAGGGTCTTTGCAGCGCCAACTGTCCTCCATATCCTCCTCTCTCTCCCTTCCTACTACCATGTCGGAGGGGGGGGGGGGGGGGGCATCTCAATCAAAATTAAAACCGCTTCAATTTCCTTCAAATGTTGTGTAATGTCGAGGCTGTAGATCAGTATGTAGTCGAGTTGCACAATGATGCACTTATCTAAGAGCAGGCGGAATGTCATCTGGAGGGTTGTAGGGACGTTGTGAGTGCGTACATGAATGTGTGGATGGGTGTGTGACTAAAAACGTGGCTGAATGAGTGAGTGAGTGAGTGGCGGACTGCAAAGGTGAGTGCGATCGTGGGTTCATATGCGAATGTGCGGCTGAGAACGAAGGTGCGGGTTTGGCAGAGTGCGAGAGTGGCTGCGGAGTGCAAGAGTCAGTACGTGACTGAGCGCTACGGTTAGTGTGTGATTGAGTGCGATGGTGAGTGAGTGATTGAGTGCAAGGGTGAGTGAGTGGCTGAGTGCGAGAGCGAGTGCGTGGCTGAGTGCACGAGTGAGTGAGTGGCTGCGTGCGAGGCTATGTGCGCGAGTGGGTGCATGGCTCATTGCGTGGCTAGTTGAGTGAGTGAGTGAGTGAGTGTGAGTGCATGGCTGACTGCGTGCTTGAGTGCGTGAATGAGTGTGTGTGTGTGTGCGTACGTGGTTAAGTGCATCGGTGAGTATGAGAATGTATGCATGGCTGAGTACAAACATGCATGTTTGGTTGAATGAAGGCTAAGTGCATGTTTGAGTGCGAGGATGAGTACGTGCATGAGCGCGTGAATGAGCGCGAGCGTAAGTGCAAGTGTGTATGCGTGCATGAATGCGCGGGTGAACGCGTGTATGAGTGCGAGACCGAGTGTGTGAGTGAGCACGATCATGAGCGTGTAAGATAAATGAGTGGCTGAGTACAAAGGTGTGTGAATGTGTGATTGAGTGAGAGGGTGAGTGTGTAGTTGAGTGCGAGAGTGGGTGAAGAGTGAATGCGTGGCCAAGTGCGAAAGTGAGTGACGTTAGTTTTTTCTCTTCGTTGAATAGACCTTGCAATGGTTCATCCGAAATGCAACATATTTTATCAAGAGATATTGACAACGATTCTCACAACGAGAAGGCTTTTGAGGGTTCTGAGAACAAGAAGTACGTTCTTTCGGCGCATTATCTATATTTATTTGTTAAATCGGCAGGACATGAGAAAATACCTTCAACGCATGCTTCGTCTGATGCAAAAAAAACGATTGCATGCTTGTTCTCTTATTTGCACTTGTACATTGATTGTAAGGTTCATGTTGTCATGAATATGGATGCCACTTATGGGATCGCAAATGGAACACATGGAATTGTCAAGTTTTTTTTCTACAAATGAGACAAGTGAGGTTGTTGTTATCTGGGTGTGTTTCAATGATGCTTGTGTGGGGAAGAGGATGCGACATGAATGTCGTCAATTGTTTTCAACATGGAACGCGTGTAACTTCCGGTACACTCCCATAGCTCGGCAAATGAGAGTGTTCTCCATCAATCGTAAGCATGATGTAATAGCAAGATCACAACTTCCTCTTCGTCCAAGTGACGGCATAAGTGTACATGGAAGTCAAGTTTCTACGTTTGATTTAGGTTTTGTCCACTCCCAACGCCGTTTATTCCATCATATATCATACAGTGGTTTAAAGCCAGCAGCTAAAATAGTGACCCCCCCCCCCCCCCCCCCCCCCCCCCCCCTTCTAGTTGGGTCCACTAGAAAGTTGAAGTACTACCGTATTACCCCGGATATAAGCGCACCTGTGGTTATAATAAAACAGTGTTTTTTAGAGGGGTGCGCTTATAAATGAGTCAAATTTATAAGCGCATGCGCTTATATAATGGCAGATACATAATTATGATTTAAAGCACCAAATTGTGCATCCTAGTACAGTTGCATTTTCAATCAAATCGAAATGGGCGTCAGAATCGCGCGAGGGCGATTTTCTGCCGGCGCACAGGGGCAAGGACACGTCAAGCTTGCCCCGGCCGAGCCAATCACATGCAGTCGCTCGCTCAGTGCACAGCCCCCACGACTGTGCTGTCAGTCAGCTTCGCCCCAGGCCAGCATACAAGCCACTCGCGTGCAGTCGCTCGCTCGCAGCGCACAGGCACGGTCCCTTTTCCCAACCCCCCCTTCGCCCCGAAAGGGCTGTCAGTCAACGGCTTTGCAAGGTTCCGCCTTTCCTGATCGAATCGCCCGTGCTCAAGAGAGTCAACTGAAGTACGGTAGAAAAAGATGTGGGTGGACTCGCTGTAAAACAGGGAATCGTTACTGTTTTAATCATGATTTAAAATAAAAACTGTACATGCGCTTGTAATAAATCAGGGTTTTACAGGGGGTGCGCTTATAATTGAGGATCGGCCATAAGCGCATTGCTCCAGATATAAGCGCATGCGCCTTTAAAGCTGCGGCCTACATAGTTCGAGCGGGAGGGCTGAGATTATCACTTGAAAACAAGGTGACCAGTTTTTGGACTCGGCCCCCTTTCCTGCAAAGCTAACGGTTGAGAGGGGTGGAGAGAGGGGGTTGGGGTTCTTCCCGCACGAAACCAAACACCCCAGGTTGTTTCCCGCCCTTCCGCAGACCCTCCTCCAAACCACCCGTCAGCACGAAATTGGGCTGGATTCTCGTTTCCTGTCTGAGTTCGCCTGCTGCGGTGTTTCTGAAACATGCTGACTTCGTTCTCCAATCAGAACGCACGAAAGGGTGGGCATAAAAAATACGCTCAAAAAACACCACTTACGGTAGTGTGTAGACCGCAGCTTTAATAGGCCTGTCCTTATATCCGGGGCCATACGGTATTTTGTATTTTTTTTCCAGCCCCATATGATATCGATCAACTCTCCAAATTTCTTCACAAATAAAAATCATCGCAAGCATGTGCAAATGCGTCGCTTGAAAGTTTGCGACGTGCGAATCTCAACTACATTCATCAGTGCCAAATTCACATCGTGAAGCATGTCCAGCTCGTGCAAAGCAAGTCCAACTCACGCAAAGCAAAGGCCTTAGACATGGGCCTGCTAGGGCGGCAATAACAACATGTGAAAAACAATAGGCGTATAACAGAGAATTTCAAGGTGTTTCGAGAAGAGACAAATAGCGCAATAGAAACGAGGACGCGAGAAGAGAGATGCGTCAGAAAAATCTGCGGAATGCTAGGGGAGATAGCAAGGACGACGGAAAGGGAGGGGAGAGAACGATGGCGACGGAAAGAAAGGGGAGAGAGCAAGGGCGCCAGAAAGGGAGGGGAGAGAACGAGGGTGACGGAAAGGGAGGGGAGAGAGCAAGGGCGACGGAAAGGGAGGGGAGAGAACGAGGGCGACGGGAAGGGAGGGGAGAGAACGAGGGCGACGGAAAGGGAGGGGAGAGAGCAAGGGCGACGGAAAGTGAGGGGAGAGAACGAAGGCGACAAAAAGGGAGGGGAGAGAGCGAGGGTGACGGAAAAGGAGGGGAGAGAACGAGGGCGACCGGACGGGAGGGGAGAGAGCAAAGGCAACGGAAAGGGAGGGGAGAGACCGAGGGCGACGGAAAGGGATGCGAGAGAGCGAGGGCGGCGGAAAGGGAGGGTAGAGAACAAGGGCGACAGAAAGGAGGGGAGAGAACGAGGGCGACGGAAAGGGAGGGGGGAGAACGAGGGTGACAGAAAGGGATGAGAGAGAGCAAGGGCAACGGAAAGGGAGGGGAGAGAACGAGGGCGACGGAAAGGGAGGGAAGAGAGCGAGGGCGACGGAAAGGGAGGGGAGAGAGCGAGGGCACGGGATCAAGGGATCGACGGGAGGGGAGGGAAGAGAAGAGGAACGACGCGATGGGAGGTAGTTAATTATGAAAGGCGGGACGGAGGGTGACGGGAGTGCGTTGGGAACGCGATCGCGATGAGACGCGAGGGCGGCAGGAGGAGAAAGAAGAAGGGCGACGGGAGAGGAAGGGCGACGGGAGACAGGAAGGGCGGTGAGAGAGAGGAAGGGCGACGGGATAGCGAACCGGCGACGGGAGTGAGGAAGGCGACGGGAGGGAGAGTGGACAGGCGACCGGAGGGAGAGTGGACAGGCGACGGGAAGGAGAGCGGACAGGCGATGGGAGGGAGAGCGGACAGGCGACGGGACTCTGAGCGCGAAGGCGACGGGAGGGAGAGCGCAAAGGTGACGGGAGGGAGAGCGCGAAGGCGAGAGAAAGAGAGGGCAACGGGAGGGGAGGGGGGAGAGTGAGGGCGACGGGAGGGAGGGGAGACAGAGAGGTCGACGGGGGAAAAGGAGAGAGAGGCGCGAAGGTGACGGGAGGGGAGCGGACAGAGGACGAACGACTGGAGGGTACTCAACAAAATTCACTCGCACACATGCCATGCTCGTGAACGACCATCCGCAAGCATTCGTCACCGGGGAGTGTTCAAGGATTGCGTGAAGAGAGGTTGTGCATTGCTCAAGGTCATTTGCAATGTCTGTGAGCACATCGTGGAAACCTGACGTATGTTACCCCCTGCCCATTGTGTCCCCCCGCTCCCGTGCCACGTTGCCATGCCTGGACATCAAGCTTGTTGGCAAGTACACCACAGCGTTACCTGTTACCGTAAATAAAAAGTTTATTATAGCAGAACATGCACAGATTTTGCGATAACAGAAAGAGCAAGGTGACCATAAAGCAGTGTTACAAACTACTCCCCCTGGCTGCACTTGTTGCTAGCCTATACTACCATATCAAATGCACCATTAGTCATAAGGAACTTTCCACCAGCGAATCCCATCTCAGCATCCAGAAAGCCACCTGCAGAGACACTCCAAACAACCTGCAAGGACACCCACAGCCTAACACATCGAAAAAGCGACATCACTCATCGTGGGTCCTCGCGGCACCTCCGAGCCCACTTGTTCAAAAACCACCTCGAAGGGTCCTTCCTTGAAGGACCGCACCATGTGCACGGAACGCTGAACTTTCCACCAGCGAATCCCATCTCAGCATCCAGAAAGCCACCTGCAGAGACACTCCAAACAACCTGCAAGGACACCCACAGCCTAACACATCGAAAAAGCGACATCACTCATCGTGGGTCCTCGCGGCACCTCCGAGCCCACTTGTTCAAAAACCACCTCGAAGGGTCCTTCCTTGAAGGACCGCACCATGTGCACGGAACGCTGCACCCTCGCAAGCTCGACCACGGTGTACTCGTTGTCCATGGACCCGGGCCTCATCACCGTGCAGCCCGTGCACTCATCCACGTGCTCCGGCAGCCACCGGCGAACGAAGGCCACCTCGTAAGCCCCTCCATCCTCGCGGATGGCCGCTCCATCAAGCGAGAGCAGCAAGTGGATGCGGCCATGCGCAACCTCGCCGTCCTCTTCGAGGTACTCCACGAATGAGAACGCGGGCTCACCGTGCAGCGTCGGTGTCGCGTGCACGTAGTGAGCCCTGATGATGGTGTGGTCCAGCTCCTGTGGTGGCAGCGCCATCGCCCTGTGCACCTGCACACCAGACACGGGTGGACAGCACGAGTGGAATGAGAAGAACGCTGGAGTGATGAACGCAGCCCAGGGCACGCACACGGTCAGCGCTCCTACTACAACCGACAATTCATGGTATGGTGGCAGGTTGTGGAGCATACCCATGCAGGAAACGGGCGCAGGCCATGCTCGCGCATGACGAAGGCGTATGGCCCTACACCCTCCTCCAGAGCGGCATCATACGCCGAGTAGATGTCCTCTGGCCCAGTCGGGCTATAGCTCCTTCCCAGCATCCGAGTCCGCTTCCTGATGGGCTGCGGAGACTCGGTGGCGATGGCCTGCCAGGGTTGAGGAGGCAGTGCGTGGGGCATGGCGGAGGGCGCGGGAAGGACAATAGGGTGGGGGGGGAGATGGGGGGAGGGGGGTGGGGGAGATGACAGGGGGGGGGGGGCGTTAATGTCCGAGGGATATGTTCCCCACGTCCACACTATCCAGGATTGGACACACATGCAGAAGCAGGCCAGATCTTGCGCTGAAGAGAAAAAACAGGTCTCCCCGTATAGCCCCCACTTACCCGCCTCAGTGCGGTGTTGTAGCGGCCCCCGGGGGCCAGACTGCTTGGCAGTGTAGTCAGCAGCGCTGCTGTGGCGTTGTGTGCAACGATCTGCGTGTCGTGCTGGCGGCGATTCGAGGCCCTGTAGGGGATCTTGCAGGTCCGAATGTCTGCGTTCTCATAAACAGCAGTCGAGAACTCACGCGGCCGACCGGCCCGCTTGATAGCCTCTGTAATGTGCAGCAGAAGGTGGACCTTGATCAGGTTCCACCCACATTTACTTGTACGTGGGAACGTGCTCTCCACGAGCGCGACCATCCTGAAAGCGACATGGGAGGGAGGGCATTAGAAACGGCAAGCAGTGTACCATGGAGAGGGTACGGTGATTGGACTGTAGATACGAACGAGACTCGAGGTGCAGTAACCTAAGCACGGTCCAGCGCCTACCTCCGTGTTGCCGCGTCAAACTCCACCAGAGACTCGTCGGTGTGATATGGAGCACAGAGGTGCGTCTCGTGCCATTCCAGGACGGAAACAAGCGCTCGCCTGCTTATGATGCTGCCCTCGCCCTCCATGACGAATGGCGCCACCTGCCATTCCCGCGCAAGACATTGAAACATGCGAGGTAAATGGAGCAGGTGTTCCTCAGATACACCATATGCCTAGCAGGAAAACATGTGCTGTTCGTTGAGTCTGTGGCCCCAAAGATGCTCTCACAACGTACCATCATCACTCCGGCGTGTTCGGTGGCGGTGAAGCTGGCGCCAGAGGACCAATACGAGTCTGCCCCCGGCTGGTTCAGCTCAGCCAGCCGCGCGCCAGGGTATATGGTCTCCATGCGCCTGCACACACATAGAGGCGAGCGCAAACAGGTGTACATGGACTTAGGGTCAAGGTCAAGTAACACAACATCGCTGGTCAAACATGCAGCCTTACACGGTGTACGAATGATAAGCCCTATGGTGTTTGCGTACTCATCTGCCAAGGCGGCCCGAGCATCACCGCCACGCAGAGCAGCTCGGATGTAGATCCAGAAGCCGATGTAGAACACGTGAAGTATGTCAGGCATCATCGTTAAGAAGGTGTAACCCCAGAGCGTGCCCGCAAAATTCCAGGCACAGAGAACGGACTGCCACACCATGCTAGTACACAGGGGGGTAATGGGTATGGACAAGCACTGATATAGATCACGCGGATTAAGATGAGTAGGTGCAGGGGTACGTGATAGGCATCAGAACATGCGATCGGCGCTACGTGCAGGAGACAGCTCACCTCGATGAGGTGTGTGGAGTACTTCGCGGCTTCGGCAGGGTCTTTCAGCAAGTCCATCTGCGGGTGGACGGTGCGTGGCGCAGATGGGCCGGCTTGCATGTCTCGCAGGTGATCCTGCTGAACATAACATGTTGAGCATGGGACGTCGCTCTGATGCTCCCTTGCGCAGCTGACTTTGCATGTCTCCGGGTAGTCAGCCACGTACGAGAACAGGAGCTGCTAGATGAAACGCTCCTCGCCCCACGGGTCTTTTGCTGCCAGGCCCCTGCGAACGGGTCAGCAAGGTAAGGGTTTGCTCATACCTCGTCAGTCCAGGCCATACCAGAGATCATAAAGTCCATGGTGTGCGGTGAATGCTCAACATACTAAACCAGGGTGGGCCAGGTGAATACCGTCAATCAATATGATGGCCAGAAACACTTGTACGTGACGGACTCACGTGTGTGACGCCAAGATCAGGTCGGCCAGCACGATCTTGAGTGCCTCTTGGAACAGCTCCACCTTCTGTTCGGGGCTCATATCAGGCCGGGGCAACGGCAGAAGCGCAAGGAGCACTCGTCCGGAGTCCCGCCAGCGCTTGTTCAGAGGCACGTTGGCGAGACTCAGGTACAGAGCCCACACCTTCACGCGCTCATTCCCACTCAGCACAGTTGCGTCGCTTGACAATATCACAGGCGCTATGACCTGTCCCTCTCCGAACAGGATGTCGAGCAGTTCCTGTGGTGAAACGACAGGGAAGCCAATAGATGGGTTGCACTCAGTAGCGTGCAGGATATGAGCTGCGCGTATAAACGTGTTCAAAATACCACGCTCAGGGCTTTCGCGACACGCATACACTCTCGTTACAAGACGCACCTGCGCCTCCGACCAGTAGGTACCGGTCGCAGGGGTTGTGTAGACTCTTCCCGCACCACTGTTGACGGGGCCAGCAAACAGAATGAACCCGTCCTCATTCTCGGGGTCTCCAAAGATCTCCAGAGTCGCCTGCCAAGCGACGAGCGGAAATCACCCATCAGGCACACGTATCGGCACTACTAATAGCCAAAACGTGAAAGTACAGCGGCTCAACTTACAGCAACGGGGTTGGTGCACAAGACATAGAAGGTGTGATTGTAGCCTGGAAGGCGGAATCCTTTGCGGGTGTACGCTCGCCGCCCAGTAAGGAGACTGAGGCCATACTGTTTTACAACGCGTCTAGTCTGCCACTGTTGAAGCTGTCGGACATCACAGCGCGGGTCGTTCAGAATGCTCAGAAGCCACGTAGGAGACTCGTCTGTGAGGCCCCTGCCACCGTTGCAGCTGACAATGAAACGGAAGAACTCAAAGAGTGTGTCAAACACATCGTCAGCGCCCACAGCGGCGTTCTCGTCGTCGTCGCTCCCGACAGAGTCCTCTGACGTGTCGCTATCACGCTCTGCATCGCCGTGAGCATCGCTCATTGACGACGCGGCGGTGTCGTCTACGTCATGATGTTGAGTGTCACCCTGAGATCACATGAGACAACGTATTTTAGAACATTCAGACATGAACGGGCGTTGACAGAAAAAGATGACGAATGAATACAGCATAGAGTAGGTACTTACACGCGTGGATGTCGGCACATCCGATACGGTGGTTGCGTATTCGGTTTCGGCGTCTCCACTGGCGTCAGCGTGGAGACCGTCATCAGAGTCGAGATCGTCATCCGAGTCATGATCATCAGACTGGGAAGGCGCGGCACGACGGTAGAAACGAAGCCTCCTGGCTCGTCGTCGATGGCACGCGTGTTGGTGAAGCTTGTGAGCGACTAATGCGGCACGCGACCTAAAATGATGAAGAAAACCCTCGCATACGAACAGGTACGTTATCTGCGGCATCTCGGTACCACATCGGAGGGAAATACTTGCATGGATATAGCACAACGCGCTCCAGTATTTCTATACGAACCGACATGCGCTCTTGCAGATCGCCATAGTCGGCGAGCCGCCCGCACACTTCCGGAGCCATCGCGCTGGCGTCCTGATGCTTAAAACTCGTGAGAGGGAGAGGGCTCTGGCATTCAAGGCTCTCGCCGCGCGCGGATACCGCGGTATCAACCTGCAAGCGACTGGGCCGGGCGAGTTGGCAAGGGAGGCGCCACCTACAAAGGACTATCGCATGTACCTCATGGAGTTCTCGTACTCGGAAGGATGGGTGGTAAGCCTCACTGTCACTCGTGCTGTTACGGTTATGAGTGTTCTGTACCAATGGTTACGCAAGGGACACTGCCAGACCCATAATCCGTCCACCATCCCGTGCTTGCGCAGGTTGAGAGAGGTCCCTACAATTTTGTTGGCGCGCCTGATGCAAGGGTTGAGTTCCGCCATGCCAAGCTTGCCGCGTGCAAACCAGACGTATTCAAGCAATATTCTCATGTTGGCGGCGAACACGGCATGGGTGCGGGTGTTCTAGCGCATGCGCTTGGGATGATGGCGTGGTGGGAGATCCCACATCGCCACGACAAGGATTCATGGCAAGCGCTGGGCCCGGGCTGGTACTCGTGCAAGTTTCCATGGGAACCCCCGACTGGCTTTAGCAAGAACACGGTGTTCAGGCTAATCCCTCAGGAATACAATCATTTCAAGCCGGACCCAGTGCTGCCAAAATTCGTGCTCTGAAACGAACCATACGGCTCATTTCGCGTAGAAATTACTAAACATGCTATTTCCGCATTATGTCTATTTCGTGAAGTACGATGTCTTGGATGAACGGGATGATTATGGCTCTATGACAAATAGGGATAAGACGCTATATTGCAGCACATGTAATGCCAAACACCCGCACAATCTACCATATGGTCAATGGACCGTGAGACGGATCGACGTGCTATGCATGAAGTTAGAGTGAAGTAATCACGCGACTCGGGTGCCACGTGACTACTGACACGTCGGCGCAATGGTGATAAGAAAATATATTCACCACCACTCCTCGTGCGCTGGTCGTATGGTTGGGCCAACATTGGTCAATAAGCGCCACTTCGCCATCCAGCGTGTACTTTGATATAGCGCGGCGCGATGTTACAGGCTGCCGGACACAGCTCACATGAGCGTGACGCTCCGCGCTGTGCTGGCTGCTGATAGCGAGACTAAAGCTACGCGTTGTGAAGCATTCGCTGGAGGAATGAGCCCGGGATGCACAGCAGGAGCCAGAATGGGAGCTCCCTCTGACTGGCGGGCCCGCAAATACTAAATAAATCGCGGTGTTTAACAATTGTCCGTGCAATCATACATTCAGCAACATTGCTCTAGGATAATGGACGGGCCCCGAAACCCTTACGCTCCTGTACGATGCTTAGTGAGGCCGAGTGCCAGCAGGCACGCTGAACACGAGGACATGGTGTTTTACGACACTCCCGCGCGTGCAAACAACGCGGGTAACCAAGATGTCGGACCTGTGCCTGTCGTTCAGCCAGACAACGGCGCACCGACAAGCGCCGACGAGACCCTTGAAGAAACTTCTAACGGTGTGGCCGACAGTTATATGGCTCCTGCAGACTCGGGCGAGGCAGCCGACAACGAGGAAGTTGACGAGGAGTATGAAGGTATGTTAACGCTACCGCAAATATCACGTTTAGTGCAACATTTACAAGCATGTGTAATACAATCATACGCTCACATATGACGTCAAACAGACCTGGGCCTCACACACTTTGCTTGTTCTCCATGCAGAGGCAAACGCCATCCAGAGGCCCTTAGGCGAAGTGAACCAGACGGCGGCGCACGCTGCGACCACGACTCCGGGCGCCCGAGGCCCCACCATTTAGGGGAACGCCTCTGCCCACGCACCCAGGGCGACAAGCGCAGCTGCAGTCGACGACGCGTTGGCGGCTCGCCTACGAGCACGTGAACTTGAGGTCCATGACCTGCGCAGGCAGTTGCGCAATACTGAGGCGCGCCAAACCCAGTGCCAAGCTCGTCATGCCGGTGCTGCCGCAGCATCCGCCGTTCCGCGCCCACGCCGGTCCCCGAACGACGTACCTGTATCAACCCTCACGCAGCCTAACCCAGATCCGGCGCCGGACGTACCCAGGACCCCGTTTGTTGCCCGTGCGCTCGCGCGAGAGACGGCGGCGACACTTGGGCGCCATGCGGCCCCGACTACGGGTCTCATCGTGTGGGCGGATACATTTGAGACGGCTCACCGTGGTATTCCGGGACTCGAAAATGGCTGGAAGGTAATTGTACCCCCGCCCCTACACACCACTGCATGTGCGCATGGCATTAAGGTAACTTAGCTGACTCATCTTGTGCTCGTTTGTCATGCACCGTTTATCGGCAGGACGCTGTCGTGGATGGGATAGTGATACTTGTGTACGACACCCGCGTGCGACGTATGGCATTCTGGCCGTCGCAGCCTCTCATGGAGTGGGTGATTAGTTGCGCGCTCAGGCTCAACACGCGCGCACAGAAGCGCATGTTGCATCTTGTGATGCTCAACGACAATGCACGCTCTGGGTGGTTCATCCGTAAGATGCAGCTCTACCGTAACACGCGATGGGAGCAGGGGAGGGCGTATGTATACGTTCTTCCCGGGCTCCCTTACGACCCACCCACCTTCTCGCGCGTCACAGTCCCTACGCTGCCTGAGGGACTAAACGTGGCGGCGATCTCTCGCCAGGAGTTCACGACCACGCATCGCGCTGGTACGGAGGTTTCCTTCTTGTTCCTTGACGGCTTTGATGTGACCTGATGGTGCCATTTGGCGGTGTCCTATCAACCCTAGTTCTTCTTGCCTGTCACTAACATCCACTCGCGTGAGTCGTAGCAGATGCAGGATCTCACCAGCTCCTGGTGTGGCACGTGTTCAACGGATTGCCATTCGCTTCGGATGTGTTCGAGAGAGGCATCTACGCGTCGTTCCGTCGTCCGTACCCTCCTCCTCTTGTGCTGCGCACTTATGTGATTGCCTTCTGGCTGTACGGGGTGAGTAGCGTGATTGCCCTCTATTTACTATGCTCAACTTTATACGGACTCTGCGCCTCGTTATTTGCACGCGAATGCAGGTCGAGTATCCCCTGATTAACGGCAATCAGATGCCTCGTTCGGCACCGCGGAACGATGAAGCCGTCCGCTGGTACAACGAGCGCGTCAGCTCGTGGGAGCGGCAGGCCATTCTCGCGCGCACACAGGCTTCAGGCCCATGGTGGGATGCAACAAAGCGCGCATGGGCCTTCCGCCAGGGGAGCACGGTGCTCATCTCTGAGGATGGGCTGGACGATGTCTCCCCCGCGCCAACGACCAACGAAAACGGGCAGCCACCTGAAGGCCCAGCTACCCCGTGCGCTGCTGCTGCCCCAGCCAGCACGGATGCAGCAGGGCTTGCTGCGGAATGTCGTTGACTTCGCAAAACGCGTGGACTCGTCCCTGGCTTACGCAGATGCGTGACAGTGCGGAGTAGTACTAGTAAAATAAATAAGAAGCTATGCTGGGTGATACGATACCCTGTGTGTACGTGCGATGTTGTGTTTGATGCTGTCGTGTTTGCTTTACTAGCTTTGTCTGCTATGTTTGAGTGAAATTTGTAGTTCATGGCGTCCATTCAAAGCTCAAATGTGCATGAAGAAAACAGGCTCGTATCATACATTCAGACATAGGAGCATGTGGGAGGCGAAAACAGGCTTACTCGAAACCGTTTCAGGGAGTCCCCTATGGTGCAATCACCTCGTCAGCACAGTGACATTTCGCGTGCGACTTGTCAAACTTATATACTATAGTCTATCTAGGCTGTAGTAGGGTAGACACTATAGGGTACAACATTTCTAGGGTTTCCTACTTGTACTCACTTGTTTCCTAGTCATCTCATTCCTCGTTCTTTCACATGGTATAGAGCAGGTTCCCTAGTGGGAACGTTTCCTAGGGCCCACCACGATCGATTTTTTTTTTTTCCTGCCCGGAGCGCGCTTCGCTCTTGCCCGAGTCGCGCCCCGTGTGCCTGCCCTCCCGTCGCGTCCCCTGCCCTTAGCGGCCCGTCGCGCCCCCCTTAAGGCCCCTCGCGGCCCCTCTCACGGCCCTTCGCGGCCCCTTCGCGGCTCCCTCGCGGCCCCTCCGCCGCCCTTCGCGGCCCCTCTCACGGCCCTTCGCGGCCCCTTACCGCCCCTCGCGGCCCCTTCGCGGCCCCTCGCGGCCCCTTCGCGGCCCCTCGCGGCCCCTTCACGGCCCCGTCGCCGCCCTTCGCGCCCGTGTCGCCGCCCTTCACGGCCCCGTCGCCTCCCTTCGCGGCCCCTCGCGGCCCCTTCTCGGCCCCGTCGCTGCCCTTCGCGGCCCCTCACGGCCCCGTCTCGGCCCCGTCGCCGCCCTTTGCGGCCCCCCTCACGGCCCCTTCCCGGCCCCGTTGCCACCCTTCGCGGCCCCTTCACCGCCCCTAGCGGCCCCTTCTCGGCTCCTCCGCGGCCCCTTCTCGGCTCCCTCACGGACCTGCCGCCCCGCCGTCGCCGCCCCTGCAGCAGCAGCCGTCACCGCCCCTGCAG